ATCTGTGTCTTTTTTTTTCAGTTTACAATTTACTCCACTTGGTTCATGAGCTTCTAAAGTATTTCTACAGAAAAAAAAAAACAAAAAACAAATGTAGACTATTCCAATTCAGCATGCTTTTGTAGAAAATTGTTTCCAACCTTCTAAGTTTTGTAATTAGCATACAGTAACTTTATTCTATACCCTTTAACACAGTAAGATATATTTTGTAAGGACTTTAGGTTCTTGTTCATTTGCAATGGCAATTCAGTAATAAATCCTAAATATATTTACTTAAGAATTGGTGATACCTGTACAGCATATTTCAGAAGCTTAATCTCATGCTCTTTTGAAAGTCTTTCCTGTCTTTTGAAATCTCAAAAGCTATTTTATTAACCTATGAAACATTTTTAAAATTTAATTTGAATATGTTAGCTTGCTAAATTTAATTTGAAAAACCTGACCCTTTCTTTTTAAATATCTGCCTTATTGTTTTAATTCTTATAAATGCTAACAATCAGCTCTGAATCCAAAGCAATGTGAAAAAAAAATATTTGCAAAGCTAAATACAAGCACTTATAGGTGTTTTCAAAATAATTTTATACCAACTTTATTTTTCATTTTACAAAAGTGTCACAAAAGTGACTTCTGTTTTTGGACATCTTAGAAATAGAATTATGGTGTAATTTGGTAGCAGCATTTACTAGTCTTTGATATGGCCATTATGCAAAAAATTGCACAAATTCATGCAAATCACTATATAAATTATTTGAGCACTAATAATATTTTTAATGATTTAATGTCGTTCTTATTTATCAGTCTAATGAAAGCAGCTCTTACATGTATGAGGAACATCTTATATGTGTAAATGGACTACTTTGGATTCAGCCTATAATCCAGTTACAATATTCCATTGTGAATCTTCGGAAGACAAGGCAGTATAGAAATAGAATAAATAAACAGGTAATTAAATAAATGTTTGAAAAGTCCCACAAATAAAATATGTGAAGGTAAACAAGCGTAGTAGAACAGCAAGAAAAGTATACAGGCAAATACATATATTAAAATCTGAATCATTTCATACAATACATTCAAATAAAATGGTTAAATCCCGTTACATATAAACTATAGCAAGATCAATACAAATGAACCTCTAAATTATTCTAAATGAAACCTCTCATTCAAAATTTTAGTTAAAGGCTACAGTCCTACAAACTACAAGCAAATTCCACTAGGATTATCAAAGCTGGGTTCCCTCCACCACCACCAAAAGGAGCAAAATGACAGCAGAGAGATACCAAAAACACAAATTATTTACTACCATTTAACAGTCTTAGCCGAATGCTTTCAGCCCACATACAGTACACCTATATTCTTCAGAACTTACTGGTCATTGTTCAATGGAACTTACTTCTGGGTAAATATAAGTAAGGTTGCAATGCAAATAATTATGATCATCATGAAATTCACTGGTTAAACAACTATGTAACATGTCAAGATTTTTTTTTACTCCCTCATCTCCTATTCCTCCAATACTACACTATATACACTGTACTGTTGCATTAAACAATTAAATTCTTCAGAATTTAGGTTTGCCATTAGGATTACCTTTGGTTCATCATTCAGTCATAACATTTCAAGGTTTATTAGGTCCCATATTGGCATACATGACAAGCTTGGGACTGTATGTAAAAACCTTGGAAAGTGTCATAGACTATTTAATATCATCTGATCAACATCATGATCATCAGTAACCAAGTTTAAACATGCTTAGGGTAAACAAATATCCAACATCCACCAAAAATTAAAATTAAAAATAAATAAAATATAGGAACACAGAATCAATGGACCACCATGTTAGTTTTCTATATTTCTATGTTTTTATCTAAAAGCTACAAAGAACTCTTTGTCCCCCCTAATATGGATGAATTTTTATAATCTCTATATATGTTTTATGTATGAATGTTACTGTACGTTCTTTGACATCAGGGTGTATTATTTACTACATATACTAAAAATCAACATTCCAATTCTCTGTCATTTCTTAAAGGCACACAATGAAGCACAAATCTTAACATAAGGTCATGTCTATAACCATACCTCATTATCATTCTTGCTCAACCACTCCTTGATTGTGGTAAGTGCGATGACTGCAGCTGGCTCATTTGGAAAACCTAAGATTAGAAAGAAAATCAGTTAGGTATGTGCATACCTGTATATATCTTTATATATAACTGTATAACATGTGTTATGGATATATATTCATTCATATTAGAGTCAGCACTCTTTTCTTAATTGATGCTAAATTAGTAGCATTACCTGCTGTTTAGACACCACATTTATATTCCCTGTTTATACGTACTGCCTTTATTTTTGTTAAAAAGTCTGCTGATGAATTAAATGCATTGAGTAGTCAAAATGGGTGTGATCCTAGCGAGATAGAAGAAGAGGAGAAAAATTAAGAAGATAGTATTCTGGTAGGAACTGGCCATGACAAGCAACCTTTCTGCTTTATTTATCTTTGTCTTCAAGAAAAGAAATCAAGGAGGATAAACCTTTAATTCCTCCTTGTTGCCATTTGAAAAGTTGACAGATATGATTAAAAGATTTGCAAGAGGAATTATTTTAGTGGGGAGCCACATAACTGAATCCATGCAAATACTATTTTAAGAACTATATATTTTCAAAACAGCAAATCTAATATGCCCACCATACTTACTCCAAGTGAGTTTCTAATCCCTTCAGCAAATAGTTTTCCCTGCCTTGATCCCCTGCCTCATTTTTCTATGCCTGTCTGATGATGAACTATATTGAATAGTATGTACACCGAGAGTACCTAAACTGTATTTCAGTTGACTAAAATCTGTAGTTGTTTATGCACTGGCTCTTTTCAAAACAAACATTCCCCCCCCCCTTTGGAAGGATGATTATACAACAGTGCCCTAGCTGAACGCTATGGTAAAGCAGTACATACACATATCAAAATTCATATAGGTTGTTTATTCAGCTACATAGGAGCAATCTATGAAAAACTTTACAATGTCAAAAGTCCTATAAGAAAAGAAACATTCCTTCCTTCCTTCCTTCCTTCCTTCCTTCCTTCCTTCCTTCCTTCCTTCCTTCCTTCCTTGCATTGATGGAAAGCTTAAAGGAAATATACTGTATAATACATGTATTATAAGTGTATACACACACATAGAAGAGAGCCACAGACAGAGAGAGAAAATATTCAAAGGTAGCTCTCTCTTCCTGTATTTCTTTCATTTTCAAGAGCAAGTGGGAAAAATGGTCTTGATCTGTAGTCAGAATTAACTATACAGTACAGTTTGGGAACGTAGCTCAAGTGCATCTCAAAGGAGCTAGCTTACCCTTCAACGAGTACTTTGTGCAATAGCAACAAAATCCCAACACTTGAAAAGGAAGTCTAATTGAACGGCACAGCAGTGCAAAAATGGAGAGAGAAATCTTGCCTAATAAGAGCAGCTGGAGAACTTTCTACACCAATACGTTGTGACCCTTCAGGCTTTTTTTAACAGTATCAATCCTACTGCCACATATCAAAGATTTATGCATTGCATATAACTTCCTACCATGCTGCAATAATTTCTTAAAGATCCTATAATACAATCTCATTCATACGTGCACACACACTCATATTCACATACATATACTGTATGTGTATACTTCATTCATTCTGTACATATATACCGAAAGCCAAACAGCTTTGACATTTCAAATATTCCTGATCTATTTAAACCTGATCAATATCTTAAAAATAGGGAAAATGTCGCAGAAAGGATAAAGAAAAAAAAAAGCCTCGTACGGACAATTGTGGAAGGTTCTGTGCAGGATATGAGTTATGCGATTAAAACTACACAGCCAGTTTGCCAACTATTTTCATGGATTTTTATTTTCGAGCCGCGTTATCACTTACAATGATATGGGACTGTTCTTTTCCACTATGGCCTTCAGCAAAAAAAAGCAATCTTCATAAGCATGTGGGAATCAATTTAGCCGAGTGAAATGAACTTGAGGAGTCTCACAGGTAACCAATTGTTAAGGTGGAAGCAGCTCAGACAATTGTGGCTAAGGGCTCAATTTTGGAAAAAAAATAAAACAGGTAAATGTAATAAGAGAGACCCTAGCTTAGGTGCTGCAGCAAGTATGCCTTTAGAATACTAAAAAGGAGGAAAGCACAAAGAGTCAAGAGAGCATTAGCCAGAAGACAGAGACAAGTGACACACCAATTTAAAGGAGATCCATCTGACAAAGTCGATGTTATTTACACCCACATATCTACTTTCTTTCAGGAATCTGGCCTTCCAATTTTAAGCTGAGCCCATTCTCTCCTTCCAAAGCCAAGTAATAACTTTCATTAGAGGAGCCAATATATCATCAACGATCCTAGCCAAATCCATCAATAGACAGATGCCAGAAGGCCATTTTCCCATTTGCTATAAAAATGGGGATTGCATCTTCTGGCTTTGTCTTCAGCTGCACATGTTCATGGAGTTGTCTGCCCTGCAAATTTTCATATATATGCAAGCCATGCCCTGAAAATATGAAAGACAAGGATCATAAAATGGCTCCTGTGAACAAAACACATTGGTGCATGAAAACTGAATGGAGCCAACAGCCATGGTCATCGTTGCTGTATCTTAACACATATCGTACAATCATTTCTACTGTAACAAAAACATAATCTGTAAAAAAAATGATAAGGCCGCCAAAATGCCTTCCATAGTCAGTTATTGCGCGTCTGGATTGTAAAATGCAAACACATAAGTTTTTAGCAGGAAATACTAAAATGAATAAAAAAAATGAGGACTATAACTTGCTTTGTTTTTTAAAAAAATAAAACACCACATTTTTATAGAATGTAGAAAAATGCCACCACCTTGTTTTACTGATTTTCGGGTTGCATGGAAAAACTGGAGTTCTATATTCTCAAAGACGTATGATAACCAATCAAACTTGAGTGAAATTTTTTGCTTGTTTTATCAGTTAATACGACACGCAATCCTCTTCACCCACCCCTAAAACCCCTTTAACAGATATTCAAGTACTCTATGACTCACATTTCACAAGATGTACTTCAGGAAAATGGAAACAGGCTATTTCTGCAAGTATAGGAGATTAAATGGAAAATTGCCAGGAAAGAGATTCACTCCAGTGCAATTTAATGACCACGCAATGGAAGAATAGCATTCTTTGGCACGTTTAACTGTGAAATCTAGTGTTGCCTGAAAGCCTATCTCCAGCAGTAAACAGGTATGGATTGGTATTTGCTAACATAATCCATCTGCTGAATCCCTTCTGTTTTTCTTCAGACTCTGTTGCTGTTTCTAAAAACATCTCACTGACCTTAATATAATTGTTTACATGTCTTTATGTGCTACACAATGTTTTCTTTTCAGAGCAATTCATACTGTAAAATGAATGCACACCAGCAAACATTCATCTAGGTCTCAGCTAATCAGAAATATGACTCAATTAGATAATTTCTCTATGAAATTAAGAGGGCTGGAATACTATCTAGCAATAGTTCCCTTTCCCTTTCCCTTTCCTTTTTTAAAAATAACCAAACAGGAAAGATTGCAATTTTGAAGAAATATTTAAAACTAAAAAATTTAATCATTGGTTCTTTTAACAGATGTGCAGAATTGAAACATGAAAAATAGAAAAAGGCACTTTCAGGATGCCAATAATATTCATGCTGCTTGTCATAACTGAAGGACACGATCATTATTGGAATGCTAAAATCAAGCTGCCCTTGATGTAATGTGGAAAACAGAAGATTTTCTTTCTCCAAGTTCATTTGAAGAAAAGGCTTGACAGTGAACATAAATCTTTTCTAACTAATGTTACTAGCAGCAGAGGTGTATTCAGAACATGATTGTAGCACTGAACAGCTGTAGGTCTCAAGCCATGAATGTGATGTTTTGATAATTGCATCACAATCTATGGGTTGAGGTATAGAAAGATATATTTAAAAAATCAGGATGATGCCATTTTAGGCAGAACTCAGTGCAGATGGGCCTAGAAAACTGTAAATAATTATAAAATATGGTATGTACAGTAGTGTCGGGACTTTACCCAGAAAAATTGATACTCGATCATCAGTAAAACTAATTTTCAAGCAACACTGGAAAAGTGTAACTCCTACTTCATAATTTAAAAAGTGTTTCACTGGAAGTGCATTTTTTGCAAAAGAGAGGAGGTGGGGAGGTTTTGCTCTAGTCATTTGAGTTATTGTTTTTATTAGCATTGATTTAGTACACACTTAATCTGTACAGTGTATCAACTAGAATATTGAACGTCAACAACCTTCCAGAAACTGCCATAATTCACTCTTACAAACATGTCACTGTTTAATCTTAGGTATATTAGCATAGCCGAGTGCTAATGTTTACTATGCCAAAGTTCCTAAGTGATGTTCCCAAGATCTGCCAGGAGGGTGGTGAAATACATTGATATGAAATCAGGGAATGAAATAGAATTATTGGATTTTGATAAATTCTTTGTGAAAAGAAATATATAATTCTCATCCCTCTGCTGCACCATTCTGTACATACTACTACTTCTCAATACTGAGACTGCCATGTTGTATCTGCCTAGCTGCTTGACAAGCTAAGAGTGTAAGACAGCTGACAATAATTATGTACCTAAAAAATATCAGTATTAGGGAGCCAGCTGATATGTTGATGGCATTTATACAACACACTAAGATGCATCGTGGTAGAACAAAATCTGTCATCTCTATTCAGTCCATGGATCAGATCTTAACCATAATGTGTAACTCACGGTTCGCTATGAGTACTTTAATTTAGCATGGTCTAATGTATCATCTAAATCTAGTTTGGTGGTTTGCTAGATCCTGGTATTGGTCTGCTTGACATAAAATTGAGAGAGTAACTGCAAAGCAGATCCATTCAGGCGGAGGAAGCAGCAGTAGCAGTTCCTATATTCCATGAGCTTCTTTCTCATCCCCAGGGGTATAAAATTTAAAAATTGCACAATGTGGCAAACTTAATTATATCCTGAGTTCCCTATATCATGTTTCAGAAGATGAATTAAATTAATGCATAGAGATTGGGTTCATCAGTTTATAGACAAGATCTTTATGAATGCCATCTCCAAATTAAGGGGAAGAAGAAACACCTACTCATTATCT